CAGGAAGGCTGATTTCTGGAAATACAGGCAGGAATCTGATAAGGTGAGAAACTTTAGTTGTCTTTTCTTCTATCTTCAAACTATATGTCCATTTTTTCCTGTATAATTCTTCTCTCCTATAAAATAAATTATTTGGTTGTTTAGTTATCTTGCTTATTGCCTGTAGGAAAATGTGATCTCAGGGTGAGTGGTATTCCAGGACCCAATCTATGGAAAGGGGACCTAAAATTCTTTGACAACCCAAGGCGAAGTTGCTTGAAGCTGTCAGAGATTCTGCTGATGCCATTGTGAGCGCTGGTATAAGAACAGTGGAATGGAGGTTTGCAAGGAGAAGGAGCTATCCCATGGCAAACCTTGGTCTGTTCCTTGGGGCAGGATAGGGAGGAGCAGGAATCCTGGTTTTCTCTGATTTAAAAAAAAAAAAAAAAAAATCACACATTCTCTGATAACATCCCTCCCTCTCCCCCCTGCCATCCATGATTAAAATGAAATGTGTGTGTGTGTGTGTGTGTGTGTGTGTGTGTGTAAAAAAACACAATGTTTTATTAACATTTACAATTTTAAAGCAATTTGGAAGCCTATTGGTACCTCAATCACTATAATAATAAGTCCTAAATACCTATAAATTTTGATTTAGGGTTTTTTATCATGGAAAATCAGAGCTCCCTCAGCCTCCTTAGCTCACCAGGATGCAGGTCCAGGACCTCACTCCCAAGCCACAGCCCCCCTGCCCTGCTGGCGGGGGCCCCCAGGTGCCACAGCTATGGGGCCAGGGATCTGGGTCCGCAACCCCCTGCCCCCACAGCAGGACCCGAGCTTTGCCTGCCACAGCCCCGGCAGGAATCGGAGCATGGAGTCCAGCTTCCCATGCCCCGCAGGTGGCACAGCCAGAGCAGAGCCTGTGGTGGGGGGCAGGTGTGGGTTATGGGCTTGGGCAGGGGAGGCTGGCTCCCCACTGCTGCATGCACTCCCAAAGGGCCTTTGGGGGCATGTGCCATCCAGATCTGTGCGCGAGGCAGGGGCAGGCTGCCTGCTGCGGGCTCGGGCTCCCCACCTGATGCAGCAGATCAGAGCAGGGCCGGGCAGAGACGTTACTTGCTGCTGTGAGCCCAGCATCACCCCGTTGAGGCACCCCCTGCCTGCCTGGCAGCAGCAAGCGCTCAACTCCACACTGCCACTCCTGCGGCTACCAGGCAGGCAGGGGGCATTTTGCCATGGTGGTGTGGGGCTTGCAGTGACAAGCAGCTTCCCCGCCCAGCCCCACTCTGCCTTACCGAGCTAGGTCCCCTCTGCTGAACAGCAGAGGCCCCGGGGGGAAGGCAGCAGGGTGGGGAGCCCGAGCTCAAACCCACAGCAGGCAGCCTGTACCTGCCCCAGTGCTGTACGCAGATCTGGGGGCTCATGCCCTCCATGGGCCCCCACCTCCGGGAATGTGTGCAGCAGCGGGGAGCCAACCCCGTCCTGCTCCGTGCTGGGGTCCTGCAGTTGCATATTCCAGCCCCGGGCCCTAAGCCCCATGCACTGCCTGGCTGGGCAGCAGCCCCAGCCCTGCCCAACTCACCCCTCTCCCTATGGGGGCTTTAATCCCCCCCTCCACACTAGTCTTACCTGCAAGAGCTGCTCTCCAGGCTTCCTGGCACCCACTTGCATATATATGCGCATGGCACCCCCTGCCTGACTGTCCTGCTCCTGTTCCCCCAGCCCCTTGCAAGCTGGAAATCTGCCAGCCTGCAGAGGGGTCTCTGAAAAAGTGCAAAATCTGTGTGTTTCTATATTAAAATGGAAAATCCACATTGTTCTCAGGTAAAAGTGAAAATCCACGTTTTTTCAGTTTTTTCCATGGGAAATGAAAAACCCAGATCCCCAGTAAGGAGAAATTCAGAGCTCTAGGGGCATCCGTCAGATTGTGACAGTCTGTGTATTTTTTCTGATGCTAGTCTTCTGTCAAAAATTATGTCTATTCAGAAACCTAAAACCAGTATATCTTTCTTGGTTTCAAGGATTAAATGTCTCTTACAAGCAGAGGCATAGTTTGCGCATAAAAAGTTAAGTCACTAATTCATGCTTAATTTTTTTTTTTAATCAAGTCAAAGCAAGGACCTTTGTCTTCCATTCCAACGTGTCTGTCAAAATGGGCTTTATTGATCATAGTAAAGAAAACGGTATTTCTACTTGCAGAATGTTTCCTGTTCTTACCCAGGGCAATCAATATCTGTCTTCCTACTATTCCCACAGTGAAAGTTCAAATCTCTAAACTCCTAGTTTGGATGCTGTGAAGACATCTGAATACCATTGGAGTTTAAGAGCTACTGTATGTATGGTGACAGGAACTAGGAGAAATATGGCACTCAAGGACTTGCTCAATGGAATTGCAGTATTGAAAGATATATTCCTTAAAATAAATAAATAAAGGCTAAGTTGCCTTTAACAAGACTGTAAGCAGCATTTAAAGACTCTCCTCTTTAAACATACAATGATTTCTGATAGGCTTTGTTTTCTGCTCTTTGCCTTGCCCCATCCAGTTCCTTGTCTTGTTCCTTTCTCCTTCCTGGTACACTTTTAATCATGTTTTATGGTCACAGTCAGTTTTTCCTTGTGACCAGCCTTGTTGTGTTCTGGAGCACATGGCGCACAATAATCTAGCAGATGATCTTTTAAAATTAGGACTATAAATTGTAATTTTATTTCTTTATGGGCTACTTTAGCCATAAAATCAAAGCTTTAGGCCAAGATTATCACTACTGCATTTGCTGCTGAGCATCCTAAGGTATATAATACGTTTATTCAGATAGGATGGACCCAGGGGTACTACTATTTCCAACTTGATGGGGATTTCCAGTCACTATAAAATATAAACCGCAGTAGAAGCTTATAGTGAAGCTAGCTTGTTTTGCAAAATGATAGTGATTAGTAAAAAGGCCTAATGAAGTGGCAACACGGGTTTGTGTGACCTTTTTTTGCACTACAGAATTTTGACCTGTTACATGCTAGTGTGCCACTGTTAAAAATGCTTTATGGAGAGACTTGAGATAAATAAGGCTAGTCACAAGGAAGTCTTCTATTTCCACCATTGTGTTTCCAGCATAGAGAATGGTACTAGCATAATTATCAATCGTTAGTCTGTACTGATCCCTGTGTAGATGCCTTTTTATAGTAGAGTTCCTGTACTTAAACGTTTGATGGTCATTTTAGCCAAAGAGTCTGCACATAGGATCTCAGGGCAAACGCTTGGTCCTTGCAGCCCTTGAATGAAAGGCTACTCTTGAATTTTATAAAATAAACCATTTTACAGATATGCTGACAGCTCGTGAGAGAGGTGTCGGGTGTTTGTGAAAAGTTGAAGCAGCCAGAGAATAGTTCTAGCTAAACTGATTCAAATTAGCATGCTTTATGACGTTAGCATCCGATTAATATATTAGCTTTAGCAGAAAAAAAGGTATTCTACTGGTCCAGCACAAAACATAGAATCATAAAAGTAGGGTTGGAAGGGACCTTGTAGATCTTCAAGTCCGACCCCCTGCCTGGGCAGGAGGGAAACTGGGCTCAAGTGACCCCAGCCAGGTAGCCATCGAGCCA